ATGTAAAAAAGGAATAAAACCTAGAAAATAAAAAATAAATCTACTCTAACACTCCCCCTCAAGCTGGAGCATATAGGTCTCCCATGCCTAGCTTGGAACAACCAGCAACAAAGGCAGGACGAAACAACGCTTTAGTGAACATATCAGCAAACTGATCTCTAGAGGCAACGTAAGGAGTGGCAACCAACTTCTGCTTCACAGCATCACGAACAAAGTGACAGTCAACTTCTATATGCTTAGTTCGCTCTTGAAAAACAGGATTTCCAGCAATATAAATAGGCTCTGATTATCACACATCATATCAATAGGATGATTAATAGAAAATCCAAGTTCCTGGATAAGAGATTTCAACCACAACAATTCAGCCACGTTTGTGCCATAGCACGATATTCGACCTCGCACTAGATCGGCAATGGTAGTCTATTTTTTGCTTCTCCAAGTAACCAAATTACCACCAAGAAAGGTGCAATACCGGTCGTAGACCGCCGATCACACTTTGACCCAAATAATCAAGATCGAATAGCCAACTAAGGTGGAAGAACCATTCGGTTTATAAATCGAGTCCCTTACCAGAGAGCCTTTCGGATATCGAAGAATGCGACAAACAGCATCCCAATGAGCCTTCTTGGGTGATTCCATAAACTGACTCACCACACTAACAGCAAAAGAAATATCGGGACGTGTAACAGTAAGATAAATTAGTTTCCCAACTAGACGTCAATACCGATGTTTATCTTCAGTATCATCTCCATCATCAACTCCAAACTTTTGATTTGGATCCATAGGAGTATCAACTGGCTTGGAAGCTAGTGTACCAGTCTCAGATAAAAGATCAAGAACATACTTTATTGAGACAAATTAATACCTTTCCTACTTCGTAAAACTTCAATACCTAGAAAATACCTAAGAGCTCCCAAGTCTTTAATCCGAAATTCTTGTTGAAGAAAAGATTTAACCTCAGAAATTCCGGTCGCATCACTACCAGAGACAATTATATCATCCACATAAACAACAAGAATGACCACTCCCGACTCCTTCTTGCGAACAAAAACAGAATGATCAGAATAACATTGGTGAAAACCACACTTGAAAATCACTGAACTGAATTTCTCAAACCATGCTCTAGGAGATTGTTTCAACCCATAAATGGCTTTATGTAGCCGGCATACTTTTTGCGATCCTCCCCCTGGGCAACATACCCAGGAGGTTGCTCCATATATACTTCTTCGACAAATCACCATAAAGAAAAGCATTCTTGACATCCAATTGATATAATGGCCAATCAAAATTCACAGCAAGAGAAATAATAACACGAACAGAATTGAGACGTGCCACGGGGGAAAAAGTCTCAAAATAATCCACTCCATAAGTTTGAGTAAAACCTTTAGCAACGAGCCGAGCTTTGAGACGCTCAACTGAGCCATCCGGGTTATACTTGATAGTGTACACCCAACGACACTTCACCACATCTTTCCCAAGAGGAAGATCAACCAAGACCACGTTTGGCGGGACACCAAAGCTTCCATTTCTACATCCATAGCTCTCTTCCACTCGAGATGAGACAAGGCCTCAGTGGTAGAAGTAGGAATTGTGTGAGTATGTAATGATAGAGCAAAGTCATGTAATGGAGAAGGAAGATGTGAAAGAGACACATAACGCTCGATAGGGTAAGCAAAGAGGATTTTTGTGTACAAGAACGAGTACCTTTTGCGAAGGGCAATCGGAAGATCGTCCGGACCGGAGACAAGGAGGGAGATTGAACGGAGGGCACGGAAGAGCCGGAGACCGGTGGTGCGTAGATCGCTTTCGCCGCCGATATACCCGCAAGGGAGGAGGTACGGAAGGACTAACAGAATCTAAGGGAATAAGTTGTGGAATAGGAGGATCAGCTACAATATCAATTGAAAACTCTTTACCCTCAGTAGAATAGTATGGTGTGCCCTTGAAAAAGTAACGTCAAACTTGACATATTGAGCACAAGTCATAGGATCATAACACCGATATCCCTTTGAGTACGTGAATACCCGAGAAAACACATTTAGTAGCACGAGGGGATAGTTTATCGCACCAGTCGTAGATTATGGACAAAGCGAGACACACCCAAAGACACGCGGGTAAGAGGAAATAACGGCTTGTCGGGAAATACAATCGATTGGTATGTTGATTGAGGACAGTGGAAGGCATACGATTTATGAGGTAACAAGCAAGTAGGACAGCATCACTCCAAAATGATTTTGGGACATGCATATGTAACAAGAGTGAACGAGCAACTTCTAGAAGGTGACGGTTCTTTCTCTCGCCACACCATTCTTTGAGGGGTATAAGTACAACTTGTTTGATGTATAATGCCAAGACTAGAACAAAACAAAGAAATTGATTTTTGTGAGTATTCTAGAGCATTATCTGTTCGCAAAAATTTAAGGGATGTATTAAACTGATTAGTAACTTCACGATGAAATAATTGAAAAACATGTAAAAATTCAGAACGATCATGAAGCATATAGAGCCATGTTAGACGAGAATAATCATCCACAAAAGTAACAAAGTACTTAAAACCATTTCTATTAGCAACACGGGAAGGTCCCGGATGTCCGAATGAACAAGTTCTAATAAAGTAGATGCACGAGAATCACTACGACTAGGAAAAGAACTACGATGATGTTTCCCAAGTTCACAAGCCTCACACTCAAGAGTAGAAATTGATTTACACTCGGGAATTATTTGTCAGTAACTTAAATAAAGATAAATGCCCTAAACAGAATGCCATAATAGGGGGTAATAGGACTAGCGGCTAGACCATTAGCGTCGGAAATGGAGACACCATCCGGATAATAGAGTCCATCATGTTCATGCCCTCCACCAATCTTCTTCTTTGTCTCGAAGGTCCTGAAAAATGCAATAGGAGGGGTAAATGTAACAGAACAACTAAGATTTTAGTTAACTCGACTAACGGATAACAAATTCAAAGGAAGTTGGGGAACATGTAAAACGGAGGACAAGGATAAGGAGGGTGTAAGTGAAAAACCCGATCCAACCACTTGAGTAGAGGAACCATTAGCTAGAATAACTTCGGTGAAGGACTAGAGTTATGGTGGGAAGAAAATAATTCTTGCTTACCGGTCATATGACTAGAAGCTCCCGAGTCAATGACCCAAGAGGTGCCAGGAGACAAAGTAGAGAAAAGGCCATGTTACCTGTATGTGCAAGAGTGGCGTAGATGAGAAATTGGAAGCCTCCAGTTGTTGGACACGCTTGGTGAGTTGTGCGACCGTATCATCCCGAGACGCGGACTCGGAAGAACTACCCCACTTGGGATAGATGGATTCGTGTCGCCGTAAGACACATTTCCAACACTCCCTTTGACCATAAGCAAAGCATTTGCAGTAACTCAATCGCCGAGCCCACTCAGCTTGCCATGCTTGGCCCAACATGTGTCAACAATATGACCGGATTTGCCGCAAGATATACACCGACGGCTATCTCGATCGAATTTTGTCCACTACGTCCACCACCACGACCGCGACCTCCCTAAACCACGACCTCTATTAGAAAATCCACCACGACCACGAACACCACTACTAGCCACAAATGCTGAATTATCTTTAGATGATGTAGAAGACGGAGGGACAATGCGCTGAATCCGACAAAATGCTTCATTCATAGAAGGAACTCTCTCTCCAAAGAAGAAGCGACTCTTCATAGGCGTAAGTCAAGCATTCAAGCCGATAAAAACTTGGCCACACGAAATTCAGCTCGTTGTGTCTTTAGTGTCTCAAGATTAGTAGTGATGGGTGATAAAGATTAAGTTCTTCCCACATGCCTTTCAAAGCACTATAATACTCTCCAAGAGACTTGTCCCCTGTTTAAAATTAAAGATCTTCTCATAGAGCTCATAGACTCTAGACATGTTTTTGTCTTGTGAGTAACTCTCCATAAGATCATCCCACACTCCTTGGCAGTTGTGTGGAACATGACATTAGCAAGAATGGATGGTTCCATGCTATTCCATAACCACACCAAAAGTGTATCATTCTCTCTCATCCAGTCACTATAGTCTTTAGAGTTTTCAGCGGGGGTTACGTAGTAAGATAATTAAGTTTCCCTTTGGCATTAATATAAACCTTCACACTTGAGCCCATAGCAAGTAATTGGAGGATCCATTCAATTTAATGGTGGTAATCCGAACATTGACACTTGTCAGTAGAAGACTTAGTGCCATTCATGGTGAAAATCTCAATATAAATATATCTACCACCGATCAAAAAGGCCGAAACTTCAGTGCAAGAAATAAAACAGCAATACCAACATATAATCGATGCGATTGGCTCCATCAATCAAACAAAGGGATCCTGAAATTTTATAAATATAGGCTGCATAATCAACGAAATACCCCGATCCTTGAATCGCGATCGAGGAAGTGTTGTAATCCATTGTCACAAACAAAACCCGATAAATCGATTTCTCCGATCTTATATGTATCGGGACTTGAAGAGAAAATAGGTAAAAATTGTAGCTTTAGGTGGCTACGCACAGAGAAGGAATAGGGTTATTAGGGGACTCTCAAACCAGCAATAGGACCAGGGAATCAGGTAGTCAAACCGTGCTCGATACCATGTTACTAAGCTGATTAGAGAACCCGAGAAAAATAACGAGAGAAAGAAGGAAGAGAGAAGAAAAAGAGAGGAGAAGAAGAGAGAAAGAAAGAGATTGTAAAATCCAAGAAAGGGCTCTTGGTTTCTGCAATGTAAATGTAAACCCTACACCCATCACGATATATTTATATTAAATATGAATTGTATATGACCATAATGCCCTTATATATGTAAAAAAGGAATAAAACCTAGAAAATAAAAAATAATTCTACTCTAACAGGTAGAATCATCCTGTCCTACGTGACTTGAATGTCGTGAATTAGTTTATTAAACATCACTATTTTGGTAGTTGAGTTTAAGTATTAGAACAGCAATCGAACTGAGTTGCATCATCAGTAAGGCAAGAACTCTCCAAATGCCAGTCATTTCATTCAGGCCAAAACTACAACCCCAGAATATCATTGATGAACAAACTAATGAATACTCAGAGCTTAGTCTATGCTGATCCTCGCAACAAAACTGTCTCTTTTGTTTGCAGAATTCACAGCAACATAAGACCAAAATTGTTACAAAATTTGATATTCATGTGAAGGCTCCCCTTGATTTTGATGTGGATTCTGCAGCCAAAATATGCACAATCAGTAACAGAAAAGTCACTTGCATTGAAGAAGTGTCAGAACCACAGAAAAATCTGTATATATTCACCTGCAATTGACTACAGATCTCGACAACTTCAGCTAGAGGAGCCCAATCACCGAAGTTCCTCTCAATGAACTGATAAGCAATCCCACTCTTGCCACTCCCAACTATAAAGAGCCCGCCTTTTATCTCGCCTTCTCCTTTGAAATTCTGCTTGGCCCCTATTGCTTTTGCGCGCTTGTAATTAGCTATCGCTATCGGGTTGAGAAGGAACCCCGACATGAACTTGTCCTTGAGCAGCTTCCCGCCGCCAAGCGCTTTGAAAAACTCCATCCCGCGATCGTAGAGCACGACGCCGCCCCAGTACCGGGGCCAGAAATCTTTAACCTGTTGTATTGAAATTTTATTTACCAGCGAGAATATAAAATAAGAGGATGGGGAGAAAAAGGAGAATGAGAGAGTGATCAGTGAGTTACCTCTGATTCGATGTGTTCATGAAGAACTGCAAATAGTTGGACCCCGAGAGCGTCAAAGATGGGCTTTTTCGAATAGAGTTGGTAGGCTTCGGCTCTGCACATGATGCACCTGTTTTGCCATTCATAGAATGTGAAGCAGAAAGCAGTATCAGAGCATATATGTCTTACAATTCAGGATAACGATGATGCAATCGCAAATATTGTGCAGCAACCCTTCTGGAAGAAACCAGACAAAATTTTTCTTATACAATGTCTGATGTATTTTTCGCTTCATTCTTTCACCATTCTGAAGTTTAATTCTGTCCAATTACGTGATTGTATAAATTTGTAATCGTCACAACTAAATCTGGTAGCAATCTGGATGGAATGTTTACTTGGAAAACAAAAACCATAATATAAAGCAACCTTGAAGGAGGAAAAAAAAAGTTGGACTTTTCGAATTGAGGGTCTCTTGTCTATCTAACCCAACCAAGATCCGGATGTTTTGCTATGATTTTACGAGACAAAAAACTCACCCTGGCCGTCTTATGCAGAGGAAGACAGCTGGCTTGTCTCGCCAGAGCTCCGAGGCCTTCATCGGAGGCGTTCTAGTCTTCACCAGGCGCTCCATTGCGATCTTATGCTCTGGTGTTAATTTCTGGACCGATATGTTCTCAACAGCAGAGTACGGAGCAATCTGATTGGTTACAGGAGGAGCACTGACGCAGCCACAGGCTCGAGGCCCGGCAGGCCCTGCCGCAATGATCCCTTTAAAGACGTGCCCGTCCTTGATCCTAAGATCTGACAGTGACTTCTCCAGAGACTTATCATTGGTACCAGTACTACTTTTCATGGACAATCTTGTCAGGCTCATCTTCCTAAAGTTTGCTGACGAAAGACTTTGGTACAAGCTATTGGTCCTGGAAGGCACATTAGCATGCGATCCTCCTTGTGCCGAAACCACATAGGATTTAGGCAGAGGGTCTGCACAGGGGCTTGTCCTGTCCATAAACCGGGCCATGTGGCCTCTCTTCATCCCAAACTGCGAAGAAAGATCGCCGGTGCTCAGGTTCAAAAGCTCAGGCAGGGATCTTCCAGAGGCCTCAAGCCGGTCTCCATACTGCAACAACGCACGGTCGTGCAAGTAGGATCTGATCTCCAGCGAATCCTAAGAAATAAGTAAAGAGGCTTTTTCATCGCTCAGTTTTGTGTGGCAATTACACTCCATAGAAATGGAGATGATACATATAGTACCACTACACAGAGACCAGTAAACTTCACAACTTTTATATGACAAACATACGATTAATCTCTTTGCACTGAAAATTCATCTAGATTGGTTAAGGTATCTTGTGATCCTAGGAATCATAAGACTAGAGCTTCTTGATCAGACATCTGAAAAGCCACAACCAACCTTTTGCTGTTGTGTCATGGAAACTGCATCCATGTCCTCTGAGTTCATGAGCTTCAAGGTCGGCACATCATCCCACCCTTCTTCAACCAACTTCGGTAGCAGCTCTTTTAGAGCTCCATTTCCAACAAAATCCTCCATGGAGAAAGAAGCCATTGTTTTCTGCTATTTCTGTCCGAAGTCAGACTTCTGATTTAAATGATCTTTGTGCTGTTGTCTATGAGCTTTGCTCGAATCGAAGCTTGTGCATTGTGTTGCTGGGACGGACTTTGCGTGGCAGATGGAAACTTTAAGGTTAATATATAATTGTGATTGATATCCAGCCGCCCACAACTGAGTCAATGACCTACCTATTTGGTCATATTCTCTCTCCTCACTCAACCTAAAATTCAATAAAAAATGGGCGGGGTTTTGTCTCATATATCAATGAAGTTCTTCTCACAGGAACCTTGATCTTCATTGTCAGAATTTTTACTGTCATTGGTTAGATTAAGCACCCTTTCAACCTACCCTGTGCAGTTTGAAAAAATGTACAAGTTGTTGCTTGTTTATGAGAGAGAGAAGGTCAACGAAAAAGAATTCGATGAACCGGTCCATTTGATATTTTCCTTAGATGCAGAAAAAGTAAAGGGCTGTAATTACTTTATGCTTAAACATGACGGAATATCTTTGATTAGCGAAAACACAGAAACACCAAAAGAACAACATAGTTTGAACCTTTCATTTAGAATTGGTCAAGAGTCACCAATCTATATTGATTTTTTTTAAGAAAAATGTACAGGCCTCCGACTGTACAGAAGATTGCATAAAATGAGAGGCATTCAAAGCAAGTTGATAAGGGGTTAAAACATTTTCGTTCCTAGGAAATGCTTGTTTATCAGGATAGGTGGTTCTGTTTGGCCACCAAAGCTTACTTATAATGATATTAAAACCATTATACAAGTTCAGGTGGTGACGTAGGATCCAAACTTCTCTGGGTTCAATAGGAAACTGTCAAATTTACAGTGTCTATCCCGATCAGTCTTCTCCAAACATCTTTACAAATCTATGCAAATATTTATCCAGGTTGAAATTACTCGTAGCACAAGGGGAAAAGGTCGCTTCCACGCCCGCTAGTTACAAATTTTCAAGGCCGTGAAGCTCGATTTGAGTACATAACCATCTTATCATAAACTATGTATTACACAGTACAAAGGGAAGTAGTGCAATATGGCATCTTATTCAAATGCCTCAAGATCCTCTCCGCCATCTGCTTGGTAGTAACATCTCCGTGATGGAAGGCACTGACCAATGTCGAGGGCAACAACCTATCTTGAGAGATGTACGAAGCTGAAGTATCGCCTCCTTTGCTCAAGAACTTCTCGAGGACCCAAAATGACTTCTGCCTCAGTCCTTCGTGCCTATGATCCTTGACCACATTCAGCACATGTTGTATGGTGTTGGCACTACTTAACATGTCCACACTCTTGTCGACATCGACTTTGTCGTCTAACAAGGTACACAGAGCAGACAGCGCAGCTTCGACCACCTCAACGTTTTCATGGTCCAAGCATGTTAAGAGCCTCTCCACTGCATTTGCCTCGATGAGGCAGAATGTACTCTGCGAAGAACAAGCCCCTCGGTGAACTGGACATATTGACAACTTCTTCCTCATTGAGAAATTAAAGGAGAGAGACTTTGGCAAGTGAAATAGCTTCCTTATTTTGGTTTTCTTGATTTCAGGTGTTTTTGATAGATGCGCAGATTCTGCCGACAGATTCTCTAATCCGATAGCCGATAACCTCTGCACTTCGTCACTTGATGTTCTCATGAGAAGGTCTGCGAATACAGAGGTGAAGTTGTAGTTTCTTGCAAGAGACAATAGCTGAGGTTCATATAATGTTGTGGTGAACCTAACTAGAATGCCCACTAGGCCTTCTAAGTATGCTATCGCGTACCTACTTGTCCTTGTTCCGCTTACTTGCATTCTATTAATTCTTTGTAGAACATCGGGGATCAAGTCCTTGTGCAAAAGGGCTAGATTGAGTGTCACGTTCTTGTGGGGTAGCTTGGCAAGAAATTTTGCTGAAATTGATTGCTTCTCTGTCACATGATTCAGTTCATTCGAGCTCCGGATCAGATTCTCGGGCAAACCTCTAGTTTTGCACAGTCTTTCTGCAAGTGTATGGCCCATATATGATGATAGTATTATGAGAAGCTTGATTGCAACGACCACGAGTTCTTCATGTGGGTTATTGATGAGTTCAATCAGAACATAGCTCGCTTCAGTCTCTTTGACGACAGAAACAATTGTCGCTGTTGATTTTGGAGACTTGGTCAGACACAAGAGAATCTTCACAAGGTTGATGTTGAGCTCATCCGGCGTAGAGTTCTTCATCATGCAGATAATGTTATAGATAATGTAATCCGAAGCCATCGTGTGTCCATGCGCGTTCACCTGGAGTTTCTCCAAATCGAGCCCCGAGTCAATTATGTTGGTGATTATTGAGGCCGCTTCCACCCTTGAGTTCATCATTTCATCAGTAATTTGGCGACTGAACATTTCTTCGATCATGATCTGCAAAATTCCTGCCTCCACAAGCGCTTTGCTATTTGGATGGTAAGAAGAGATCCTAGCTAGAGCCTTAAAAGCTGCCCTCCTGATCAATCCATGTCCGCTCTGCACCATTGAGACGAGTGACGGAGCTGCTCTTTCCGCCACATAGTTTTGGCTGTCATAGCCTAGAAAAATTTCCTCGAGATAGCTTGCCATTTCCAGTTTCATTTCTTCACTGCCTACATTTCCAAAGACAATGAGATGAAACTTTTGAAGTTTAGCAGTGGATAAGAATCTGCATGACTTACCATACCAATTTGTCAAAACCTTTAAATATTAGGTACAAGTGAGTGGTTTGTTAAAAGTTCCTATAGTGTGGTTCTGAGTGATGTACCTTGGATTAGATGTTCCAGAAGCGGTTCCACGTAACCGTTTTCGGCCATGTTCTTTATATTACTCGGATGGCTCTCCAGATTCCTTAAGATTTCGCTGGCTTTCTCAGAAGCGAAAGCATCGAGCGAGTTGTACTTGTTCGTGATCAGGATCAAAATGGCACCAGTAACAGACCCGATGCTCTCGCATAGGGACTGAGATTTGGAAAGCTCCAGCAGAAATTGCAACGTCGATTGTCTCGTGGGTTGGTGACTGCTGGAAAGCAACTTGATGAGGGCCTCCGTATCTACTACTCTGGCGATCATTTCCTGTGTTTATAACACCGATAATGACTATTCACCCAGAAATGTCATAGGCCATAGCCTCTTGGAAAGGAGTCAACAATGCAACGAGAACATTATAACACAAACTTTAGAATTGGAAAGAGTAGTTAGTGCTTATGATGCGCCAGAAAAACGATAACTTGAAATAATCGTCTTTCACCCACACCTACACTCCACGAATAACGTATGGTAGTTGCTCTATGTTCATTGCTCTTGAAAAGACATTAGATGTTTTTATTTTCCTGTCTAGACTAGTTCCTCCTTCCATACCTTTTCCTATTAGAACATAGTTCGTCAAGTTTAAGTAAATAAATGCCGTGTATCACTTCATCATCACTTAATATATAATCTGGTTAAGAAAAGGTCAAACCTTGTTATCTTCATCTTCCTCTGCCAATTGTCTCAGTATGTCCAACGCCATACATCTCGCATTTCTATCCTTGTACTCCACGAACTTGACCAGCAACGGGATCATTCCAATATTGCGAACTTGAATCCTGTTATAACTTCTCTGTCGGCAGATGCTTTGGACATCTTTTAAAGCTTCGATAACCATTGCTGGTGAACTGGCCAAAGAAAGCCCAGCGCGTGCCACTTTGATTCTCGCCGCTTCATTCCTCTCCTTCCACTCTTCTATTGTGGTCTTCAAGGCCATATTAGTGCTTAGAACTCGAGAAACCAGCTTTTTTCCCGTCACCGGACAACCTATTTGTTCCGAGCTTTCGTGCTTCTTAAGCCACTCGTCAATTGCTTCTCTTTCGTAGGTCACTCCGCTTTCTATGGTTACTGGGTCTTCCATGATCTTCTTTGTCAGTGGACAGAAGAAGGTCCCATACATTGGCTCGATAATCTCAGCAAGTTGGCTCGATGTTATCGATGCCCTACTCGCACTCCTCTGCTTCATGTGGCTGCCGCTCGTGCTCGTGCTCGTGCTATGAAGGAACTCGACAAATTGCGACACGCTCGAGAACCGCGAATTATCCACAAAAGCTGCGGTGTCAATAGAATATAAATCTGTTTCGGACTGTACTTGTTCGCTCTGCTTTTCCATATTTACAACCTCTATAGGATGTTGTACTTCCGATTGATCGCCTACTTCAAATTGAGCTTTCTTCATTTCCTGCGACAGCGACTTCACTGCCAGTGCCGCAAAATCTTGATCCCCATATGTCGAAGCAGGTATCATGCTCAAGTCTTCCCCAATATGATTTATAACGCTCTCTAACTGAACTATGACGCTTCTCATCTCATGATCTTGGATCGGATTTGTGTCCCTTTGGCACCTGCCAACCAAATCCTTGGCGAAATCGATCTTCTTCGAAATGGATTGTACAATCTCTAGCGCGTTCAGCGGAGTCTGTTGACTCGCCTGCAACTCCATGATGGCAAAAGCAGCTCGGTATATGTAGCACGCAATCGCAGTGAAGCTCTCTCGTTCAATCTTGATGCATAGTAAAGACTCCGTGACCTCGGAAGTAGATTGAAGTAAGGACTCCGAAAGATCTGACACTAGAGAATCATCTGTTTTCAACTGCAAGAGGAATAGAATAGTTTCAATTGTTTCCAAGATCAGAAAAACACTGATGATATATGCTAACATTATCATGCTAAAGTCTACTTCTACAGCATAAAAACAGAAGTCTTGCCGACTTCACTATTCTCAGCAACTAAACAAGAACTAAACCTTCAGCTACTGCCATGTACGAAATTGAACTTTTTACCTTTAGGTGGCTCAAACAATTCCCAGAAAAAAAAGGACTTTGCACTAATTCTCCTTTTACACAGAAACCAAGCACCAGAACAACTTTACCAAACTATCTGTATTACATATCTCGACGATAATAGCATACAAAGGACGAAAGCGGATATGTAACGAGGGATAGTTCTCGTACCGACATCAAATCAGTCTTGCTCTTTTTGATGGCTTCCTAGTGTTATATCCAACCTTGGAGACGAAGGTCTGCAACTTCACCTCGAAAGTCAAAAGTTGAAGTCTGCACGATGAAGGAGGTTGCTTCTGATAGAATGGTTAGTGATGTAAGTGAAGATCCAATTGCAAAGAGCTTATGGTTTTAGTATTCCCCATTGGTTGTTGTTTAACTGCTGCTGACTAAACTTGGAACAGGTCATACAATTCTTGATCAATCATGTAAGGTAAACATAATTTAACACTTTCAGTAAACCTCATCTGCAATTTTTTAATGATATACGATCGTTGTCCCAAGACATACAGGGAAATGACAATGGAAATTCATGTTCGAGAATTGGTGTGCCATTTACCTAATTTTCATTTCTTTCGAGAGAACTTTCCCGAGAGAAGTTGCGTGTTTCCAGAGATAACAAAACCCTTTCCTAGTGTCTATAATTCATGATCCGCGACTTATTTAGTTCGATGCCGCTATCATGTTCGACATCATACAACCGATCGAATATGCACGATGATGCTAACTGAAAACTTCTTGGAGCTATTATAATTGAATATCAATAGAAAAGTTCATAATCAGGAGGCGGTCTAGACACCGATAGACCTCCTCTGGTTTTTCTATGACACCCCAACGGACACTGATGACTTGGTAAGAGAAAATTGACTACTGGGTTGACTTGGATCGGGTATTATCTACGTCGCAGACAATGCAAATGACGAACATGATCTCAGAATTGTGTGGCAACCCAAATTGCAAGAGGTGGCGTCGAAAACGGGGAATTAAAACTTTTATCAAGACAAGACTTACATTTCTGACTTTTTCTTCCTACGAAAAATCGAACACGATAGACTAGTCCAACGGTTGGTTGGTATTATCAGGTGTTGTCGTGAACTGGAGGTAGACGGTCCAGACGTAGATCTGTATGCGTGCCTTAGCATTAAACAGGATAGTAGGTAGGAAATAAATCAACAGAAGATAAAGGGCAAAACGACATTACAAGTGTCATAAGTTATGTACGGAAGACACTTTTGTGCCATAACTTTTTTCGGAATACTTTGGTGCAAAGTCGGAAGAAAAGAGATCACTTAAGTGTCTAATTTGGCCGGAAATCCGACGTGGCATTTTTTATTAATTTTTACGCCGACGTGGCTCGCGGAGGATGAGTCGAGCTGTTCAGCGTGTACGATCAGTATTTTTTATTTTAAATAATTTTTTTCCTTTTTTTTTCCTCTTCTTTCCTTTTTCCTTTCTTTTCTTTTTTTTCTTTTCTCCCCTCGCCGGCCGGTTGCCAGTGGCCGGCCCGGCCACCGGCGAAGCCCGGGAAGGGCTGGGCGAGGGCGGCCTTGCCCATGGCCGGCGAGGGGCGGCCTCGCCAGATCTGGGCGAGGCGACCCTCGCCGGCGACAGGCGAGGCCGCCCTCGCCGGCCATGGGCGAGGGGCGGCCTCGCCGGATCTAGGCGAGGCGACCCTCGCCGGCGACTAGTGGAGGGGCGGCCTCGCGGCCATGGGCAGGGGCGGCCTCGCCGGATCTAGGCGAGGCGACCCAAGCGATCGACAGCGAGGCGACCCTCGCCGGCTGGCGAGGCCGCCCCTCGCGGCCATGAGCGAGGGCGCGGCCGTCGAGGCGAGGCTACCTCGCCTCGGCCAGGCCGCCCCTCGCCGGCCATGGGCGAGGGGCGGCCTCGCTGATCCGGGCGAGGCGACCCTCGCCGCGGGCCGGCGAGGCCGCCCTCACCCATGGCCGGCGAGGGTCGCTCACCTGATTTGGCGAGGCCGCCCATTGCCATGGCCAACGAGGCGGCCTCGCCTCGTCATCGGCGAGGGTCGCCTAGCCTAAATCCGCGAGGCCGCCCTCGCCCATGGCCGGCGAGGCCGCTCGCTCGCCGCGTAGAAGGGTCGCTCGCCTGCATCGCGAGGCCGCCACTCGCCCATGGCCGGCGAGGGGCGGCCTCGCCGGCGAGGGTCACCTCGCCCAAATCTGGCAAGGCCGCCCCTCGCCGACCATGAGCAAGGCCGCCCTCGCCTAGCCCTTCCCGGGCTTCACCGGTGGTCGGCTGGTAACCGGCCAGCGAGGGGAGAAAAGAAAAAAAAAGAAAAGAAAGGAAGAAGGAAAGAAGAGGAAAAAAATTATTTAAAATAAAAAAATGCTGACTGTACACGCTTGAAAAAAATTATTTAAAATAAAAAATGCTGACTGTACACGCTGACTCATCCTCCGGCGAGCCACGTAGGCGTAAAAAATTAATAAAAAATGCCACATCGTATTTCCGGCCAAATTGGCACTTACGTGATCTCTTTTCCTCTAACTTGGCACCAAAGTGTTCCGAAAAAAAGTTATGGCACCAAAGTGTCCTCCATACACAACTTATGGCATTTGTAGTGTCCTTTTGCCGAAGATAAAGTATGAAAAGTAGGAGTGGAACTTGAAAACGTCCACGACGCAATCCTGCCAAGCAATCTTATTGTCAGCCGATCGATCTTTCTCGTCCGTCTCGAAAGAAAACCTATCAGTTCGAGAGAGCAGACACGACCTTAGGGAGCAACCCCTCGCTTTCTATCGATAAGAGCGTGCAAAAGAATCGAAAATCATCCAAACTGGACCAAATCAGACCAAAATCAGCCGAATCTAGGCAGAAACCCCAATTCCAATAAATGAGAATCAGTGAGTAACCGCTTGTATATATATATATATATTTTATGTTTTCAAAATCAAAATCCTAATTCTCTCACCTCATCTCACTTGGTCACCTCTTTGCATGCAGTCACGAGCTCATTGCTCCCTCTCTTACTCTTGCTCTCGATTACTTCTGGCCTCGTCGCTTGCTCTCAAGTCTCACGCCTCTCTCTCGTAGGCTTGCTCGCCACTCGCGACGCTTGTCGTGACTCTCGCAACCTCGCTCGCTCATGGTGCTTGTCACTCCCTCTCATGTAAGTCCTCAGTCCCTCACCAGAGATTTACCATCAAGTTATTGAGGGGCAGAAGTATGATTGTAGACCTCGTAAGGATTTACTTTGCCCTTTGCTATTTTCTTGTGATCGTTGGTTTCGCTCCAGTGGAGCCCTTCACCAGACCAGGTAGATCCGTTCCCGGGTAGGAACCGATCACCCCTATCTATCAATAGAGGCGCCTAGCAAGGCATATGCACCCCGAGTCAGCTACTTTTGTAAAACGGATTGGATCTTTGCAATTATATCGAGATTCGAAACTAAGTGAGAAAATAAAACGAGGAACAATAAATGATACGGGAAAACCAACCACAAATAATCCATTAATCAATCGGAAAACTACGTGATTACAATCGCTCACACACTCGAGTATATTCCAATCCTAAAATTACACCCGATGCTCACGGTGCACACAGTACAAATCTCACAATATACACCAGAGAGAAAGAGAGAGAGAGAGAGAGAGAGTCCCTCCCGATCGGACAAATGGAGGAAAATAAAAGAGACCAAGGGACCACCAGACTCGATGACTCTTTTTCTTTTGTTTCGTATTTTGCTTCTTGCGCTGATAAGAGCTTCCAAAGAGCTCCTTTTTAGCACCATAACATTATAAAGGAGGTGCTAACATTATGAGAAGTTGCGCATTCGTATTTATACACAACTGTAAGCCCCTCCTTCATAATGTTATGATGCTAAAAACAGAGGCTCTTCATCAAACGTTGTTGCTGCGCGTGAAGAGAATTCAACAAAACAAAAGAAGACAGGCTTGTGCGCTTCATTAATTAATTGCCCAATCTTGTGATAAACGAGAAAACAACGAACCTCACGTGCAACAGCCGAACACGCATGCAAGGAATTTATTGTAGGTTCAAACAAAATCAAAGAGGCATTTGAATTTTGTTTATTCGGTCGGACTCGCTTTGGACCGTGTTCAAATTAGACCTGTCAAAATAGGTCATAAATCCATTTCTTAACTCATATATTAGTAAGGGGTCATAAATGGATTAATTATATTTAGTAAATTGATCATAAATAGGTATATGTATATATGTATAATATGGGTATTAAATGGGTCGCAAATGGGTCGTAAATGGGTTTACAACTTATTTAAACCCAACTTATCTCTCTTGCCCTCATTCAATCTTACGCTAATTCACTCCGCACTCTCATATTAGTTTAAGTATGAGTTTTCCTAGATTTAGTTAAATATGAAAGTATTTTAGTAATATAGGTCAGGTCAGGTATAAATTGGGTCGGGTCGGGTATAGGTCGGATCGGGTATGGGTCAAGAAAATTGCATTGCTTATAAATGGGTTAAAAAATGGGTAATGAGTCAATTTGGATCAAATCACTTGTGACCCGACCTGAACCACCCATTTAACGGGTCTAGTTCAAATCGATGGGTTCAAACTCAAGACACAATTTTAACAATTACTCTAATACCTCTCTATTCGCTTCCTTGTTTAATTGCTCCTTCGTGACTCGAGAGTTGGGAGGCTTATCCAGGGGCGCACCCCCGGACCTCTCATCACTCTCCAAAGTTTTATTACCAAGTTCTAAATCAAGTTGAATACGCAAGGATAGCAAGATCACCGGAAATGAAACCTCGAAATATCTCAACGTTACTATCGATTGTTTTAAAAATTTAAGTTGTTAGATTCAGTCATGATTTTATATTTAATATTTCTAACGTGGAGCTGCAGTGATGACGAAGTTGTTATGGCTGATGGTGTTGGTGATGTGATGGTCGCCGACGATGGTGAACGGTGGCAACGAGGGTTGGGCGAAGCTTGTTGGTGGCTGAATCTGAAAAACGTGGGAAAACCGGCGGTTTAACACCACTTGTAGACGTAAAATATAACGGAGGCCAAACGTATCTGAAGGCCAAACGTCTATGATCTCTTTTGCTTTCGTTTGCACAAAAAATTGACCAAAGTCATCGATATAAATAAGCCCTTAAACACGTCACACAATGTCAACGACTACAAGAATTATTATCGTTATTGATACACATTAATGATCATCATACAACGATAGATGGCTGACGATAGTCGATAAAGGCATCGATTAGCAAGGGCGACGGACCACCGATTGAGGAAGGTTGGATGTATAAAGAGCATCAAAATGCAGTTATGGACTTGAAGTCACCGGAGAATGAAGCGGTGGAAGTCGTGGAGCAACTAGAAATGCGATTCTAAAGGAACAACCACCTGGAGACAAGATTATGGCATCATGAGAGTTCGGAAATAAAGGAACATGGCTACAACCGTAGGAGAACTGCTCAGAAACGGTTATAGCATGACCACTATAATTAATACTATCGTCTATCTACCAGAGAAACCCCACACACAAACAAACAAATATATTATCTATCAATCATCTTTATTTTCCTGCACTATACTTTTAATTTTTAAACTCGCATCATCGATTAAATTTCGGCGTTACATCTTTGCGTTCTCAAGTTTTGTCGTTGATTAAATTTTCTAGCATAGTTTGTTTACGTTCAATTCTGCTAAAGTGGTTGGATTTTCAAGCTTTGCCGTCGATTAAATTCCGTACAATTCTCTCAAAGTGAAGTTATCATTTTTTCTTGTACATTTTCACTTTGGGTAATTGAAATCAGAATCAACCTGACATGTTTTTTAAATTGCAAGAGTTTGATGGACCGACTTAATATTCGCGTTAAGCCAAATAGAGAAACGATCTTCTTACGCGTTTTCGTTGCATCACAATTGACTGAGAAGTAGTGATAATAGAGAGAAAAATTATTTCTTTGTTCTTAAATTTTGAAAGATATAAGTCATGACCGATTTGCTTCATTACATGTAAATGCCCGTCGATTTTCTTCTTCTCATTTTGAATTAGAGGATTTTAGTCGAGCTTTTAACCATCCACAACCTAATACATATATTAAAATCGATTTGGACCGTTTTACATCTGATGGAACTTAAGTGGGTCCAACGTTGTCAAGAGTCATAATTTTAATTTGGGTTAATATTACGAAAAACCCCAAATTGATACATCTGTAATAAATTTACCCCAAATTATTTTTTTGACTACAAAAAATCTCAAACTGGTATACCCGTGATAATTTTATCCTAAACTATTTTTTTGACCACCAAAAACCTCATATTAATACACCTGTAACAATTTTACGCCCGAACTAATTTTTTGACCACCAAAAATCCCAAACTGGTACTCCTATGACATCTAAATGAATTTTATCCTCTTTTTTATAAGTGAAGGTTATTGTCATGGATTAGTGGAAATCTTGCTTGACGAGATTAAAGCAGGTCATGTGTAAGGGTTGGCCCACGGCCGTACTGGATCTGGAAGTCGGGCTTAATTTTAAATAAGAGAAATGGTTAAATGACAATCATCAATCTATTGTGAGATTATGGCTCCTTTCAATAACCAGGCTTACCTTTATTTTTAGCAAAGGAGAAATGCATATCAGTCTTCGAGCTGAGGCAAGCGGATGACAGGCTAACTCGAGCCTTTTAACTGCAGAACATTTGGCGATATGTATATGCTCTGGACGAGTTGTCTGGTCCCGATGAACAAGTTTTAAATGAGGATTCATTACAAACTTCTGGTGTATGGGACCAAGGAGCAATCATTTGCTCATGGGCCGTACCCTCTACTTCAAGAGGAATCACTGAAGCACAAATGGTCAGGTGGAATGCAGATCGCCCAAATTGAAAAACCTCTACACAATTGAGGGTGTTTGGGGCGAGACTTGCAGGACACTAGTCAACATGAACCGAGTCAATCATGACCTTTCATCATATAGCTCTTGTAAAAGATACTTGTTTGTCATCATCACACATGGTATTGTGTGGTTCGAGAACCGTAGAGATTTGCCAAACACTATTTTGGCCAAAATAACTTCACAAAAGATTTTTTACCAAACGCAATTTGCATTTTCCCAAAAAGCTTTGAGTTAAAGATATTTGCATTCCTCTAAAGCCCCTTGGGAATGCTGAACCAAACGTACCCTTAGTTTGCTTCCGATTGCCAAATTATGCGTTACCGGAAGACATAAAACCTTGGGTATTCATCTGTGTTGTTTTATGTTTTGTAAATATCTCGCCTAAGAGTTTTTGCTCTATAGCAGTCCATTCTCATGCACAAGGAATCAAAAGTAGGTAGTGGGATAGTTCAAGGGCAGAATTTTCTCTGGACTAGTTAGTCCAAATTGTTGGCGAGTGCCAGATTACAATCTTTCATCATCGCGGACGAGGAATCAAATGTAGGCATAGATCAAGTGTGGAATTTTCTCTAGGCTAGTTAACATGAATTATTGCATTAGTGCTAGATCACCTGTGTGAATATGTGTGTTCATCATGAATATATTCAACTGCCTGTGCAGTCCATGATCAATGCTCTGCTTAATTAGGCATTTCTCGTATGTAGGATTGTGTCTTCTTCTTTTTTTTTTCCTTGTTTCTTTTCTTGCAATTGGTCTCTTGTGTCTTAGTATAGTAGGACTTGTGTGAAAATGTTCAAATTTTCTATTGCAGACAATTTTATTGACTATATGTAGCCAACTCAAGCATATAAATGAAAAGTTTGTGTTTGCTTGATTGGAGGGTGGATTATCCACTCCGGTTGGTCGTGTTAATCTGGTTGTTCATGAATCTGAAAGTGCTCTGCCCATTCTCAAGAAAAAGTTCAAGCTCTTTGTCCGTGCTTTACATCTTCGTGAATTATTGATGAGAATCTTCTTGTGCCGAAAAGGTTAACGAGGCTGCTGTTTTAGCTTTTATTGGTTGTTGTGGGGTTATGGTATAATTTGGTGAGAGCTTTCTCCGTTCATTCAATTAAAGTTTCAGCTTTGGGCCAACAAGTCACCATCTTCTTAAAAGTAATTCTCTAACTCCTCTGTAAAAGCCAAGTGTAAAAAGGAAAAAAGTATTTCTTTTGTATGCTTCTTTCAGGCATTAATGATTTATGCCATTATTATGGATCTTGTTTGCTAGCCTCCCTTTTCCTACAACCTGACCCTTCACAGACATGAAGGTATTTTATTGCACTTTCGAACACATAAGAGTAGCAGGACATGCATATGCATGTTCTAGACAAATTTATGTCTAGGGTGAATAATAGATTGACGACGTTGGTTTTAATATGTGGCGCTGTGGGACCAGATTTTCTTATTTTAGTATAAAAAGTCAAACATTATGTTTGTTTCTGCCTTTGCCATAGTCGCACTGCAAATGGGAAGGTATAAGAGGAGCCATTCTTCAACTTGATTGTTTGAATATATCTACTCTCATTTGAGCACCGGAAGTGAATGTGATCAGCGTTTGAAGTCTTCCATAATTTTGTTACATTGATGAACTTCGTTTATGCAGCTCGAGAAGGCTCTGCATGAAATACATAATGAGCAGGACCGAATAAAGCTTGATTCCGAGAAGAAGTTGGCTCAAGCGAGTGCTTTGACTACTGGAATTGAGGATAGATCCTCGGAGGTGAAAGAGAAGCTGCATGAGGTTGATGCCAAGCTTGCAGAGGTCAGCAGAAAAAGTTCACAATTGGGCTTGAAGATGCAAGAGGTGGAGGCACGCGAAAGTGTACTTCAAAGGGAGCGCTTGTCTTTGAAAACTGAGTATGCTCTTTTCAATCTATGCATTTTATGCATCATGCATGATAGTGTTGTTTACATTGCTATAGTTGAAAGAAATATTTAACAAGTGATGTTCCAAATCTGCCCTTTTTTGGCAGGCAAGAAGCACACAAGGCCACATTTTATAAACAGAGAGAAGATTTACGAGAGTGGGAAAAAAAGTTGCAGGAAAGGGAAAAGAAGCTGTGTGAGGATAGGAGAATCCTTAACGAGAAGGAGGAAAAGGGCAATGAAATTGACCAACTTCTTAGGCAGAAGGAGAGGGATAGCGAAGAAGCTTATAGAAACATGGAGTCATCCAAATCAATGTTGTCTGAGAAAGAGAAACATATAAATCAAAGTTTAGTGGACTTGGCTGCAAAAGAAAAGGTAAGTTCACTGTGCAATGCTGCTGGTTCCCCTGTCGATCTTTGCAACAAACCTACATCATATTTTTCCAGTAGTTGCTTAGTTCACTTTTCAATATGGCTGCAGGAAGTACAGTCAGAAGAAAGCATTATAAGATCAAAAGAGGAAAGGCTACTTGCATTGGAGAACAAGCTGAATCTGAGAGAAAGTGTGAATTGAATGCATAATCTTTCTCTAGAAATTACTGTTGTATTACGTATTTTCAAAAGTTTTCGAAGATGGACTTGGATTTGATAATTTTTCTTTGTGATCATTATTTTGTATGTCAAGGTGAATGGTATTCATACTTCATTCATTTTCTTGTCGATGCTGGATAAGTTCTTTTTGGACAGAATTGCTCTATTATTTTGGCAAGTGTAGTCCAACTAATATATAAAATTGCCGTGCCTCATGCCTCTTGTCCTTGTTTATAATGCTGCTAATGATTCAACACAAATATGATTAGCTCGAAAGGCATTTTCTTCGTGGGAAAGGGAAGATAATGATAGTTTGGCAACTCATATTCTTGTGCACTGAGGATTGATGTAGCAGTCAATTTTTAAATGAGTATATTTTTTTTGTTAATGCTTTGCAAGAACTAATATTTCGTGCTAAATCACTCAATAGTTAATTGACTAGATCCAATCCCATGTTGCTTGGTGTTGTGAATGTTGGATATTAGTTCTCACACAGGCTAAAGCAGAACTAGTACTGGTAAGTAGAAACAATTTTTATTGAATCACTTATTTTGTGAATCATGTCGGTGAATATTTTTATGCATAGGGGTTTCCTTCCATGCTTGTGTGTTGATCGCTCTGTCCTTTGGGGTAATTTGTGAGCTTTAGTGTAGGTGCTCTCTGTTTTGTTTTCTATTCACCGTTGGTTCGATTGATTTTATTTAGGTAAGTTTTATCACACATGTAATTTACATGTAATTGCCCGTCCATTTTCTTCTTCTCATTTTGAATTAGAGGATTTTAGTCTAGCTTTTAACCATCCACAACCTAATACATATATTAAAATCGATTTGGACCGTTTTACATCTGATGGAACTTAAGTGGGTCCAACGTTGTCAAGGGCCCTAATTTTAATTTATTATACATTTTGAACTAAAGTAACAATCCCCACGCTATGTGGGTGGTTGGTAGGCCACGCCAATAATTCATCTGTCTACCTAATCGCCACAAAAGCTCTAGAAATTGCTGTGGAGGCACTTGCCAGTCAACTAATCGAAGTCTGCCTCAGACGTGTTTTTCATGGTCTGGTGAGTCAAGTTTGACTAAGGAGGGAGTTTGGAGTGGGAAAAAGTAGGGGTCAGCATAGTTCATGATACCCGGAATCGAAGAACTGGGTAAGTGAAAACCTATCCAATTCTAAGTTTTAGAGTACGCAAGATAGGTTTCAAGTTTTAAAATTGAGGAACATATTTTGATGTGTAAATTCCAGATTCTAGGTAAGTAAAACCTAGAATCTAGAACCTAGAGCAAGTTTTTATGTTTTTTCATATTTTGTCGTGATCCTATATTTTCACGTGATCCCGTGTATATCCAACCATTGTCGCACGTCCGATAATGAATGTATAATCTGGAATCATTAGTTCGAGCTTTCATTTTATGATTGAGACTTTTACTTTGTTAATAGTTCATACTCTTCGTGTATCTAAATATAAGTTATGGTTAGTGGATTGTAGCAGCAAGTGGTGGTCATTAAAAGTGATTAATCACTGCAATCGTTTAATTAATAATATAGGCAGAACTTGGGTAGACCTTGGAACATGTGACATGGTAGGTTCCAGGTTCTAGAGTATGTAGGGTAGGTTTCGGGTTCCAAAAACCTAGAAACTTCGTTTCTAGTAAGTTTGATTAGTGGATTAGATGTGTGTTTTAGGTGACTTGTCGAAACCCTGGATATCGCTCACCCCTAGGGAAAAGTACAAAAAAATCCTAAATCTATTATGTTTGTGTCAATTTAGTCATAAACCTTTAAATTTGATCAATTTAGTCTTAAACTTCTTGCATTTGTGCCAATTGAGTTTATTCAACCATTTTTGACCGGAAAACGCTAATGTGGATGCCAACCATCCTAGGTGGCATGATCGGCGCTGATGTGGATGATTTTTAATTTTTTTAATTTTTAATTTTTTTCTTTCTTTTTTTCCTTCATTTTGGCCGACGAGTCTGGCAACTCTCGCCAGCCATTGGGCGAGGGCCAGCAAGCCCTCATTGGCTGCTAGCGAGGGTGACGGCGCTCGCCAAATCTAGGCAAGGTCCTTTGCAGTCCCACAGGCCACAGGTGAGGTGGCCCTCACCCAATGGCCAACAACAAAATGTAGAAAAATAATAATTCAAAAAAATTAAAATTTGTCCGCGTCAGCGCCAATCATGCCAACCATGTAGGGCAGCTAGCGTCCACATCGGTGATTTCTAGCTAAAATTGGCCGGGAAGATTCAATTGGCACAAATGCAAAAAGTTTATGACTAAATTGACCCAATTAAAAGATTTAAGACTAAATCGACACCAATGTAATACGTTTAGAACATTTTTTGTATTTTTCCCATTTGGATTGGAGTGCCTCAACAGTGACCAATAGGCCAACAACGAAGGAGTGGGATTTGGAGATTTTTCGACGACGATTTACAAAATTAATATAAAATGCCCAACTTCAGTGTACCGCTTCATTTTATTTTGAATAATTCTAGGGCACATAAGAATAAATCCGGTTGCCTAAGGCCCGTTTGGCAACTTGCCAAACAGTGAAAATTTCTGTTCTTTTGTTCCCATAATTAGTTTAGGAACAGAAATGCGTTTGTTAAATTTTTTGTGCCCGGGCACAATTTTGCAAAAAATTATTCTCAGAATCAGTTTTGGAACATAATCAATAAGCAAAAAAAAGTAGCTTCTTGATTCTGGAACAATTTTTTCCATTTCTGATTCTTCTTGGTTTTCTTCTTTTTTCTTTTTTTTTCTTGGTTTGTTGTTCTTTTTCTTTCCGGCTTGCCGCCAGCCATCGGACATAGGCTAGGGCAGGCGAGGGCATCACGGCCTCCGGCGTCGCGGCCCTTGCTACCCGGGCGAGCACGGCTTGCGGCCGCGGCATGAGGCTCGACTTCGCCCGGATTTGGTGACGAGGGCCGCGACGCCTCCTCGGCGCACCGGCCATGGCCAAGGAAGGGAAGGAAAAAAAAAGAAAAAAAGAAATATAAAAAATTAAAATATTATTAATAAAAAGAAATTTTGTGTAGTTACCAAACGCATTTCTGTTTTTTTCTATTCTAAAAATAGAAATGTTGGACAATTACCAAACGCCTTCAAATACTTAGAAATTGTTTCGGGCACGGAAATAGCTGGCTGCTTTTTATTTTTATCTTGTACTTTTTTTTAACTAATTATATTTAGTTTCTTAACTAAGATATATTTATATATATATTTTTGAAAACTTATGTGTAGAATTTTTTTAGGGTAAGTTCACTCTAGGCTTTTTATTATTTTTTTTACTTATTTGAATCAAATTTAAAAAAATAATTTATCACTATGCAAGTTAAACAAACTATCTAGTTTAGCTTGTGTAGATGACCTTAGTTTATAGCAATTCCACGTACCGCTCCCTTATCTAAAAAAATCCACTCACTCGTTTAATAAAGTGCGTTATTCCATTTATTTTCTCTTGTCAAAGTTAAATTTAACAAAGAGTGGGTTATAACACTATAGAGGGATTCTCAAACTCATTAAGGGTCCGTTTGTTTCGCGAAAAATATATTATTTTTGAAAAATACTTTCCAAGAAGTCATTTTTCCAGTGTTTAGGTAAAGCATGGCCGGCCTCGAGTGAGCTTGAGGCTTGCCGCCAAAGGCCACGAGCTCACCCAAACTGGTGAGGCCCAAGCTCACTGGTCGTCGTCATGGCCATGGCCAACGACCAGCCGAGGAAGTAGCAAAAAAGAAAGAGGAAGGAAAAAAAAAGAAAGAAAAAATTAAAAATAATAGATAATTCGATTTTTTAAAAATAAAAAAAAAATCGATTTTTTATAAAAATAATTACAAATTTGAATTTTTAAAAAAAATTTATAAAAACAAACGTTTCATTAACCAATGAACCGAGTCTGAGCACCGAGGACTCGTGCACGACCTTTGTGGACCTGGGCCTAAGGGTCGGGACCAGAGCTCGAGCGTCGCAGACCCAAGCACGGTCTTTATAAACCCGAGTTCAGGTGCCGGAGCATCGGGTATGGGCACCAGGGGTTCAGGGCCGGCCTCGATGGACCTAGGCGTGGGCACCAGGAGCCTGGGCTCGGGACACCCAAGTCCCGAACGCGACCTCGATGGATCTAGGCGTGGGCGCCAGGATCTCGGGCTTGGGACACCGAGGTCCCGGGCTCGACCTTAATGGACTCGAGCTCAGCTGCCGGAGACCTAGTCCTGATTGCTAGGACCCAGGAATCAACATTGGGGTTTCCGTACCCAAGCATAGAGTTTTGGATCCAAGCACCGATAGCTAGTTATATTTCAAAAAACGTTTTACGATTTTTTTAAATAGAAAATCATTTTCCTAAATTTAAGTCTCGGTAGGAAAATATTTTCTGTTGACTCGTTTTCTTAAGCAAATCAAATACCGCAAAATGAGAAAAATATTTTTCGCAATACAAACGGATCCTAAGATAAAATCAACCCAATTGGTTCTCTTGTTTTTCTTTTTTCTTTTTTGGCTTATTTTAGGATGAGGGAATTCCCGGATCTTTCTTTCCAGTAAAACAAGTCTCGAGAGAGACGCCTTCTTCGCACAACAGCCGAAAACGTGGAAACGTGAGTAGGCGGGCCACGACGAGTCCCTCCGTCGCTCTCCTTCTCTTCTTTCTCACTTCCTTCTCCTTTCAATAGTAAATCGACTTGACTTGTCCCATCCCCGACCACTTAGAATCTCTCTACCCACCTCCGAAGGGAAGAGAAACCTTATTTTTTCCCTCAGCTCACACACAGTCTATAAGAATAGATGCTGTCTGCATAGGTAAATATTTTACTTCGACAAAACCCACATCAGAAAGGTCAGCATAAGCATCTCTTCTTCTTCTTCTTCTACTACTACTGCTTCATCTTCTCCATCTCCATGGAGTCTCCACCTCCGCACGTACTGCTGTTTCCCTACCCGGCGCAAGGCCACATGCTTCCGCACCTGGACCTCGCCCACCAGCTCTCCCTCCGCGGACTCGCCCTCACCGTCCTGGTCACTCCCAAGAACCTCCCCCTCCTTAACCCTCTCCTCTCCGCCCACCCCTCCATCCAGACCCTCGTCCTCCCCTTCCCTCCCCACCCCAAACTCCCGCCGGGCGTCGAGCACGTCCGCGACATCGGTCAGCTCGGCAACATCCCCATCATGTCCGCCCTCTCCGCCCTCCGCCTCCCCCTCGCCCGGTGGTTCGCCTCCCACCCCAATCCTCCACTGGCCATCCTCTCCGACTTCTTCCTCGGCTGGACCCTCGACTTGGCCGACGAGCTCGGCATCCCCCGGATCGCTTTCTTCTCCTCCGGCGCCTTCTTGACGTCGGTCGTCGACTTCTGCTGGCGGAACGTGGAGAGCGTGAAGAAGGCCAGCGCCGACGCTGTGGAGCTTTCAGATCTGCCCGGAGCGCCGTCGTTCCGGGAGGAGCACCTGCCGTCCATATTCCGCTTCTACCGGGAGTCCGACCCGGATTGGGAGATTGTTAAGAGGGGCATGTTGGGGAATATGGCCTCTTGGGGTTGCGTCTTCAATACGTTCGATCACTTGGAAGGCCAGTATTTGGAGCACCTGATGCGGAGAATTGGACACGGGCGTGTTTACGGAGTCGGCCCGCTGAATCTGATCGGGCTCGATGACCTCTCAGGTCGGGGAGACCTGGGCGTGGGCGCTGGAGCGGGCAGCGACGTGCTGGGCTGGCTCGACGGGTGCCCTGACGGGTCAGTCCTCTACGTGTGCTTCGGCAGCCAGAAGATGATGGCCCGGGAGCAGATGGAGGCCCTGGCGTCCGGTCTCGAGGCAAGCGGGGCCCGGTTCGTGTGGGTCGTCAAGACCGGCACGGCCGAGCAGGCGGAGGAAGGGTACGGGGCGGTGCCAGATGGCTTCGAGGCCCGGATGGCCGGCCGGGGGAGGGTCGTGAGGGGGTGGGCCCCGCAGGTGCTGATACTGGGCCACCGAGCGGTGAGCGGGTTCCTGAGCCACTGCGGGTGGAACTCGGTCCAGGAGGCGGTGGTGGCAGGGAAGATGGTGCTGGCATGGCCGATGGAGGCGGACCAGTTCGTGAACGCGCGGCTGCTGGTGGAGGACATGGGCGCGGCGGTTAGGGTCTGCGGGGGGCCAGACACGGTGCCAGACGCAGACCAGCTGAGCCGGGCCATCGCCGGGACAATGAGGGAGGACTTGCCGGAGCGGGCGAGGGCGAAGGAGCTGAGGAGGAAGGCTCTGGAGGCGGTGGAGCCCGGTGGTGGGAGCTCTTGGAGAGGCTTGGACGAACTCGTGAAGGAGTTGGGCCAATTGCAAAAGCAAAGATTGTGATCATACGATTGGCCCTTTCATTGTGAGGAATGTGGAAAGATGAAAGGCGGACCCAATCGTTGAATAAAGGCACCGTAGGATTCGCATTTGGAAGATTACAATCGTGTAGGTCCACATTTGTTTGTGCTTCTGGAAAAGTAACTATGGACTCTTTTCTCCCAAATAGTGAGCGATAAGGATTAAATTATGCAATCAAATTGAACTCAGTTCATCATATTCATCTAAATGAATTTTATCCTCTTTTTTATAAGTGAAGGTTATTGTCATGGATTAGTGTAAATCTTGCTTGATGAGATTAAAGCAGGTCATGTACAAGGGTTGGCCCACGGCCGTACTGGATCTGGAAGTCGGGCTTGATTCTAAGTAAGAAAAATAATCTAGTGACGGTCATTAATATATTGTGAGATTATGGCTCCTTTCAATAACCAGACTTGCGTTTATTTTTAGCAAAGGAGTAATGCATATCAATCTTTGAGCTGAGGCAAGCGAATGACAAACCAACTCGAGCCTTTTAACTACTGAACATTTGGCGATATGTATATGCTCTGGACGAGTTGTCTGGTCCCGATGAACAAGTTTTAATGAGAATTCATTACAAACTTCTGGTGTATGGGACCAAGGAGCATTCATTTGCTCATGGGCCGTACCCTCTACTTCAAGAGGAATCACTGAAGTACAAAAGGTTAGGTGGAACGCAGATCGCCCAAATTAAAAAACCTCTACATAGTTGACGGTATTTGGGGCGAGTCTTGCGGGACACTATTCGACATGAACCGAGTCAATCATCACCTTTCATCCTATAGCTCTTGTAAAAGATACTCGTTCGTTATCATCGCGCAAGGTATGGTGCGGTTCGAGAACCATTCAGGTTCATAGTAAAGGTTGACCTGACGGGAATGCCCCACAGGAAATAACTAGTAAGAGACTTTCACCTTCTCGTGCGGTAGACCTGGGAATCATGGACAGTGATGTTGCTGGTCTGTTTTTCTTCTCTGTAAACTCATGAAGCTCTGTTTTAGTTTCAAATTCATTCTGCAACATCACCGGCATGTGCCTTGCCCAAGTTTCATTCGAATATACACCGGTTTGTGCCAAACTTGGGTCAAAATCTTCCGCAAAGTAAAGATTATAATAGCCACCCAAGAGGGATTACTCATTACGGTTGTATATCATTGACACCCATATAATACTAAACTTGGATAAGGTCATACCATTCTCGATCAATCGGTGCAATTCCCTAAAAAAATTTCAACTTTAGGTCTAATCCCAATCTTGATCCAAACTTTTTTTTATCTAAAAGAATCACCAATTTTCACTCATGTCTTAAATTTAACCTGCCGTGAGGGCGTGCGAGGGGGCGCATATGGTGCTGGACCCAGAAGAGCTGGGGCGGGCAATCGCGGGGTCGATGAGGGAGGACTTGCCAGAGCAGGCGAGGGTGCAGGAGCTGAGGAAGAAGGCGCTCGAGGCGGTGGAGCCCGGTGGTGGGAGCTCCTGGAGAGGCTTGGACGAGTTTGTGGAGGAGTTGGGCCGACTACAAAAGCAACGAATGTGATCACGATTGACCTTTTTATCGTGACGAATGAGGAAGACAAAGGTGACCCCATTGTTGAATTTGCATTAGAAATTGTAATCGCCTACATCCACATGTTTGTACTTCTACAAAAGTAACTATGGACTCTTTTCTTCCACAAAACTGGAGTGTTTTAGTACCAAGTTTTACGATCAAATTAAGCTCGGTCCAGCCTTATTTGTTTATGTATCTAAATGAATTTTCGTCCTTATTTTGAAGGGAACGCTATCATCATTCTCACTTATATCAAATAAAATTCACAAAGTAATAATAGTAGATTACTAAAGGAGATATGCATATCAAATTCCGAGCTGAGGCAAGTGGATGACGGGCCACCTCAGGCCTTTGACGGCCCAATTCCATAAAAAAACCCCAAACTTTAGCCTTTGTCCCAATTATATCCCAAACTTTTTTTTGTCTCATAAAAAACCCCAAACTTTACTTTTGTCCCAAATCTACCCGTTTACAATTCATCCAATTTTTTAATATTATTTTTCGATTTTTTTTCTTTTTCTTTTCTTTTTCTTTTCTTTTTCACCCTCAACCTCCGGCGGTCGTCCGGCCCGGCTGACCAGCGTAGGGCGGGTCAGGTCGGCCTCGCGAATCCACGGCCGAGCCTCGCCGGCGGCCGGCGAGGCCGAGCCTCGCCGTGCCGGCGGGGCCGAGCCTCGCCAGACCGGCGGGCTCGGCCTCGCAGTTCGGGCGAGGCGAACCTCGCCGCTGGGGGCGAGGCCGACTCTCGCCGGGAAGCGGCCGGCGGCCGAGCCTCGCCGGATCTGGCGAGGCTCTACTGCTTGGCCTCGGCGCCGGCGAGGTCGGCTCGCCAAAGAACGGCGAGGTCGGCCTCGCCAAAGAATCTGGCGAGGCCGAGCCTCGCCAGACAGCCGGCGGGCCGACCTCGCCGGCCCCTTCGGCCGGGGCTGACCGGCGCGACCGGCCGGAGGTTGAGGGGTGAAAAAAAAGAAAAGAAAAGAAAAGAAAAAAGAAAAAAGAAAAAAATTCGAAAAAATAATATTAAAAAATTGGATGAATAGTAAACGGGGTAGATTTGGGACAAAAGTAAAAGTTTGGGGTTTTTTATGAGACAAAAAAAAGTTTGGGATATAATTGGGACAAAGGTTAAAGTTTGGGGTTTTTTATGGAATTGGGCCGGCCTTTGACTACAGAACACTTACCCATATATGCTCCGGACGAATTGTCAATTCCATGAATAGGTTTAATCAGGATTCATTCCAAACTTCTTGTGTTGTAGAGATGTCAAAATGAGTCCAAAATATATTCTTTTAACTCATTTTTTTATGGGCCAAGTCATAAAGGGGTTGGCTAAAATGTTATAAACAGATTTAAATGGGTCCAAGAAATAAATGGCTAAGTATAAATGGGTTGGAATCTGACTCGTGTTGAGCCTATTTTGGTTACAACATAATCAGCCATTGATAATATTTTTCGGTGTTTGACCGAAATCTAAAATTGAGTTATAAATTATTTTCTGTCGTTTAAAGAGGGAAACCCGCTTTCACTTTCCTAAATAGACAAGTACTATTCGAGCGCTAGTGATTTCGGCAGAGACAACTGGGGAAATGAGCCTAGGTCCATAGAAGTCGGCCTCGGGACCCCTCGATTGACCCAAGCCTAAGTGTCGAGGATCGGATCACTAGTACCGAGGTCCTGGGCTCGGCCTTGATGGACTTAGGCTCGGGTGCCGAGGTCCTAGGCATGAGCGCCGAGGTCTCAAGCCCTGCCTCAATTAACCAAGGCCTAAGCACCAAGGACCTGAGACCAGGCGCGAAGAAACCGAGCACGAGCATTAGAGTCCCAGGCCCAACCTCTACGGACCCAATCCAACCTCGATGAACCCAAGCCTAGGCGTAGGGGAGCCGAGGCAAGGGCACCGGAGTCTCAAACTCGACCTCTATAGACCTGAGTCTTGCCTCGATGGACCCATTCTTCAAAGGCAATAATTGAGGAGAAAAATTGCTAATATTGAATCCTGGGTTGGATCAAGTCACGTATGAGTCGCCAAGATCCTTTTGTATAAATTGGGATCAATTTGGATTGGACCATCTTCAATCCGATCTACCCTTTTGACGGGCCTACGTGACACCAAGAACAAAGTGGATTATGGATTTGCCAGAGCATTATTCATTTGCTTGTGGGCCGTGCCATACTTCAAAAGGATTGACCGAAGCACAAATTGTTGGGTGCCAATCACCCAAACTAGAAAACTCTACATGATTAGCTGACAGGACCATAGATTTTGCTGGAAACAACCATGGGCTTGAGTGAAGGGTATCTGGGGCGAGACTTGCCCAGAAGCTAGTCAATATGGACCGGATCATTCACAACCTATGTAGGTTTTGTTAAAGATATTTGTGATGATTGCACATGGTATGGTATTAACTCGAAAACCATTCAGCTTATAATGACCGTTGACAGGTGTTTTCTAAAAAGTACCAACGAAACACCTTCAAAACGTGAATTGACGAGTGAATCAACAAAGGTTGTAAAATGTCCTATGTTGATTCTCGAACAAGAAACGTAAATGACGAGAAAATTAAAAGTACTAAAACTAGAGACAATTATGTATAGTCGTGTAAAAGGTAGTGGATGTAAATTTGAACACCATTTGTTTTTTGATTGATTGACAGTCCTTTCTACAAACTACAATTCAGGTATTTATACCTACTACTGACACTTAACAACTGTTACAAAGAAATCAAATACATCATATATTACTTCTACAATTCAGCAATTTCTATTTACAAACGATTACTCGGTAATAACCAACTCCGCTACTTGACAAGTGCTTTTTGTCCACTCTTTCGCGATTGTGGTCTCCAGTTGCTTTTGGAATCTTTGGTTCCACTACTTGACAATTGCGTTGAATTTCCCATTTTACGAATATCTCTCCGACAATTGTATTCGAAATTATCGACTCCAACACTTGGATAATTTCTTCATCCTTACTACATTGACAATTACGTCAATCGTAGCCTTTTGTCACTTGAATTGACCTCCACTTCTTGACATTCTATTCCTTGATTTGGCTACTTTCACATATACCCTCAGTCGGCTAAAACGAGTTTCCTTGTCGACTAACTGAATTTGCCGATTAGGAGCTCTCAACACTAAGCCTATTTTTTTTATCTGCCACATTTTGCTCGGTCTCTTCCAGTCCGAGTCGAGGTCGAAGACTCGGGCATTTTTTGGTGTCAAGACACATGAATGTCCCACAAGATGTAACTAGCAAAGGACGTCGAACTTCCCATGTGGTAGACATAGGAATCATAGACAATGATGTTAGTCCCGCTTTCTTCTTTGCAAACTCATATAACCCCATGTTACTTTCAAACTCAAATCAATTAAATCACCAGCACGTGCCTTCACTAACTTGCATTCAAACAAGGACCGAATTGTGCCAAACTTGGGTCAGAATCTCCTCAAAGAAAATTATTATAAAAGCCAACCCAAGAGGGGATAATACATTATAGTCAGATATCCTTGACACCCACTCTTGAGCCAACGGTGACAGTGAGTGGCTTGAGTGGGTCTTACCGGGGCATGGCCATCACTTTTGCTTCAGAATCCAGATTAGGCGTTCCACAAGGGGACAACCAGACCAGTTCTGGTCCCATTTTGTCCTCTCAAATCTTTTTGCTCATGTGGGTCTCTCTACTCGTTAGCATCATTCGATGCTTTCATTACAAGACATTTAAGGCTGTACCCACCACGAACCCACTTGACACTGACAAGGGTCAAGAAGAGAAGGTAGGAAACAATATTTATGCAACTCCGAGCAAAAAAGATCAGGTTGCCACGTTCACTTGCCATTTTCCAGACCCACTTTTCTCTGTCCATAGCCAGCACTTTCCTCATCTGCTCCATCATTCCTTCTCACCATTTCTAGCCCAAATTGGAGGAAATTGTGACCACCTTGACACAGAGTCCTCGTCTGCTGAGAAATTGACTGTTAGGTGGAGAACCTTCACCAAACCTGAAAAAGCGCAATCAACTTCTTTTAACGCTTGGGATAAATCTCGGCTGCTATGGATTAGAATTTACAACTGGCCAGGTTTTTGGTGCTGCTAGACGACAACAGATCAGCCTGCGCGTCGGGATCAATGCAAGCTAAGCATTATTACCGATATAATGAAACATCGATATTGGGTCGATGCATTGGATCTCGAGTGATCCATTCGTACTGTCATAACTACATCGATGAGCTTTCCTCGGATGCTATTACTAGGGGTGAGCGGTTTCCGATCCGGTCCGATCCAACCCAAGAATCGAGAACCAGATCGGGAGAATCGATTTCCAGTTTCTAGGATTAGAGATTGGAGACCGAACCGGCTAGTTTTGGAACCGTGGATCGGTCCGATCCGGTTCGATTCTAATAGGATTAATATTAAATATTATTTGTGAACCAGGAAACGATTGTTCCGTTCTTTCCTTTGTAATTCTGATTTGATCCCATAAAGCCATGGAAAAAATTGGAAAATATATATTATATGACAAAATTGAACAATCAGTTCCAATGGAACCAATATTAAATAATTTTCATATATATATAAATTAGAAAAATATATATTTATCGGTCCAATTCCCACCCTAGAATCGGGAACCGGACCGCCCGAAAACCGGTTCCACTTTTAGGAACTGGGAACCGGACCGATATTCCCTGAGAACCGGACCAAATCGGTCGGTCCGGTCGGGTCCGGTCCTGGTTTGGGCGGTCCATCTTGCTCACCCCTAGCTATTACCGAGCTCCAAGCCTCCCAATATCACCCAATAAAATGGGATAATCCTTGAATTTTGATCTAATATACAATATAATCCTAATATTGTCCTTGGACTTTCAATCTGCTCAACGTGATCCATGAGCTATTGGTAAATTTTCAATGTGATCCTTCCATTTGTGTCATGTTCACATAGTCTAGAGATTAAATTAAATATTTACCAATAGTTTAGAGACTATATTGAACAAATTAAAGTTCAGCTATGACATTGCACATTACAGCAAAATTCGAAGATCGCATTGAACAAAATATAAGTATAGGAACAACATTACACATCGGACCAAAGTTCATTGACCATTTTTGTTATTTTCCCAAAATTATTTAGCGTGCTCGGCTGGAAGATCAATATTTTAAAGTACATATACTTGTTCTGATTGTTAGACATGTTATTGCTGACTCCATCACAAGCTTTAACTAGAGATAAAACAAGCAGGAAATTCCACTTCTGTTGGCAGTTTCCAAATGGGAAGAAGAGAAAAGGGCAAGAATTCAACAGAGTGACATGTTTGACCGCCCCACCTAGTTGAAAAGCCAATCCAATCCCGTATTTAAAAACCAGAACAACTCTTTAATGGGTCCCCAACATGTGATGATCCCTCGGTTGGTTAGTCTCAGTAATATCTTTCTTCCCTTGCTGTGTCAGCATCGATGGAGTTTTCTTGGCAATCCTTCGCTCCTGAACAGTGGAATTGAACAACCATGACGCCTTGCCTGCACATATAAACAAACACTGGAGTCCCTTTCAGCATTGGTAGTATCACTTGGAAAACAAACCGCTTCATCACTGGTGGATTTGAGGCGATAAGAGAATGCGCTTTGAGATGGCATAATAAAATCGCATGTCCAGCCGGATGAAAGATGCAATGGAAAGGAGATAAACGTCAACACGACCTATAAGTAGCCGATTCGATTTCGGCTTCCGCCGGACCATCCTGCAGGCGGAGAGAACAAAGATGCCCACCATCGTTTTTTTTTTTGTGTTATTTATGTAAGGCTCGAGTCATTTCAGGATGGGAGCCTCTTCAGAAGAAACCACTCCTAGAAACAAAAAAAACATGCATGCAAATTGAGACACGGGTGAGTAAAACGTGCAGAAACCAGGAGAGGAAAAGAAAGAACCTGGGCAGTGCTCCATAACAAGATAAGAGCTTATAAGGTAGACGCCTGATCTGCGAGATTAACAAAGCTCGGGTACCAAAACTCTTCCACATTCGAAAAAATGTGAGTATGTGTAACCATGGAGCCTGACAACAGCACAACTGTCCGTAACATAACTGGAAGAATGACGAGCAAGAAATCCATCAGATCAACCCTCTTGCTACTTATAGGAAACAAACTACGGAAAACCATCCGATGTTTCACACTGCGACAGCATTTCGACAATGGAAATCCGACGACGCGACAATTGAAATGCAACGCAAAAGCAACAAATCACAACACCACCAGTATAGTGTGACATTTGCCAATCAACCAGAAACTTATTTAAGCTCGAAGAAAATGGAAAGATGAGCACGTATCAGCCACATTCGGTGTATTATTACACTCAACAGCTCTAATGAAACAAGATAAAAACTTACTAAACATCTTTTTCTTATATTCATTCCACAAATTATTTATCGAACAAAGTCCATGAGTGAGAGTTAAAAACAAGAAACGAACTCAGAAAAAAGAGAAAAAATACAACCAATTGTACCCAGCTTGCACTTGGCCGATGCCAAGAATATTTACAGCACCTCGTCCTACTGATGCTCAAACTAAACCCCCTCATGCAGATCACAAAGCAATCTAATCCTACTGACAACCCTCCACTTCCACAAACCTACGTCCTGGGAAGGATTCTCTTCCATCGGTACATATTACTAACTTGTAAGTCTCAAAACTGGCAAGAAGTCCCAAGCCTCTGCCTCTGCCTCTGGCCTAAGGTAGCGGACTTCCTGTTATCGAATGCTGGACGCAGCAGCTCCTGGAACTTCTCCAGGAACAGAACCCATTCATCCTCACTCATGTCTGCAAGATTCACAAAGCTCACACTTGCAGGAAGCAGCTCATTTGCACTTCTGTGCCCAGATGATGAATGAGCCACAGGGCCATCTTCCTGCACCATACCAGAATATTTGGGTTGCTTTGGACTCTTCTTACCCAAGACAGTGTTTTTAAGGGACATGGAAAGTTTTGACACCGAGGGAATCCTCTCAAATGCCTGGCCCCCAGCAACATCCTCTCCCTTCTTCTCTTCTTCATCTTCACTCTCTTCTTCCTCCTCACTTCCCTCCTCCAGTCTAGAGAGAGGATTCCGGCCACTACTACCTATTCCGAAATCATCCAGTCTAGAGAAAGGTGCTCTATACATTAAATCATCCATGGTCATCTTTGGCATGAAGCCCGACTCGGCATCCTCACAGTCAATATCAAATTGAAACTCATCGTCTCCCAGGTCTGCCTTGGGGGACAAAACATCCCTATCAGCTATAGACCTTCTCGCCTCAATGCACACGACCTCCAGTTCACTTGGTTCTTCCTCACCACTGCGAAATTCTCTGCTCATCATTTCACCAATTTCAGCAAGACAGAGGCCATATGCGGCGGCTCTCTTCAGGAAAATGGTGCAGAGGGTCAGCACACGGAGACAAGCTTCTCGGATCACGGGAAGCACCTCGCGCAGCATTTTCCAATCCTCTTTATAGTCCAGCTTTTCTATATACTTCAATTCAACCTCGGAAAAAGGAATTGAAGCCTGAGGCCAATGAATCCACTCAAAGTATGGGTCCTCCAGAGTTTCTGGCAGGCATAGGCCATGATCGATAGGAATCAGTTCCACCTGACCAAAACTTCCCATGCTGTCAAGTTTCCTTACCAAGAGGTTCCCAGCATGCCTGTCCGTGTTGAAAATTCTAATGTCCAATATTCCAATTTGATGCACAGCAGAAACAGGGAAGCTTGAGGTCCCATGATCACTGGCATCAAAATCATGAGGCATGAACTGCTGAAAAGATGCTATCTTGCTGACCGGCTTCTTTTTATTTGGCTTGTCGGGATTCACTCCATCGTTAATATTGAACATAGAGTGAGTGATCTTCACCAGAGCAGTTGGAGGCACATTAGCAAAATGTTCAGAGTCCAGAAGATAAGCTGCAACCTCTCTGATCCCTGTTTCTCCAACTCGCACAGATCTCTTCAAGCCCGGTTGTCCTAGAGCTTTGCCGACAAAGCCTTTAGGATTATTGGGGGCAAATGGTTCTTCATCAGTCGGCTTTATAATAGCAACACAATCACCTCTACTGTTTCGGAAATAGTATGCACCCCCAAGACCACTGCGAACAGGAATTGGATCAACTCCATTCTTGATCGCCTTCACAACTTCCTTCACCAATTGCTTGATTCTCTCACATGGATCTGACCGGCCAAGTATTTCTATCGGGCCACTCTTATCTCTTTGCTGGCTGTCCCTCCCGGTTGGCGAAAGACAAGGTGTCGAAGAGCTCCTTTGAAGAAAATTCCGTGTAAGGAGAAGTGGGGAATCGTTTAGGACATCACTGAGATCATTTTTCAGTACCTTGTCCCCAAAAGTCAAAGAGCTCTGTTCTATCGGCAAATTAAGAGCGAGCTGCAACCGCCTTTTCACAGTGTGGGCGTTGTCACTGCGATCTAGCTCCATACCCAACACGCAGCCCTTTTCAGTCTGCACGAAAACGCGTCTCCTCGCAGTAAGTTGCTTCCCCTCATTTCCGTTAGTCCCGAGGTACTCCCTGCTAAGAGGGCTCTTGAAAATAGGAAGTCTCCTCGCAGTAGGTTGCTTCCCCTCATTTCTGTTAGTCCCGTGGTACTCCCTGCTAAGAGGGCTCTTGAAAATAGACAAGGCCATCTGAGTCTGGACAGGGCTGTCTAACTCAGGAGACATGAAATGGAGAGGGAGAGCTCGAGCTTTCGCAGCCAGCAACGGGGGCGGCAGCTGAAGAGCAATTCCCCCCCAAGATTGCGCCGAACTGCAACACCGGCGACGAGCGGATACACTAAAGGCGACGCGAGTATCATCAATCGGCGAATCCAAAATCAGATCCCATCAACAATCTACGGAAACCACGATCGCGGCAAGGTTATGGCAGCGGGGGAGATAACGGAGGCTGCCAGCCCGACGCGAATCGCTGCTACATACGGCGCGCCATCTCGCAAAAGCCCCCAATAGAAAGGGAAGGAAATCTGCACGACACGAGACGAACGAACGGTCATTCAGATGGAACACGAAGCATCTCGACCCGCTCCTAAGCGAATCCGCGGCCGAGAGTCTCGCCCACCAAGCGGCTAAAAATGCATGATCTGGACGCACGGGTTTCAGAGAACACAGCAGAGCGCGTGAACAGCGAGCAGGTAACATTTCCACCGCATCGGTTACACACCAGTTCACACTTCAGGAAAAAGCAGTAACCGCAGCATTCCCGCCTCGCCGGTTCGTCAATGCGGCAAGGCGCGATAGAAACACTTGCACGGCAAAAAAGAAACGCACCAAAGCAGACAAAGCAAGCGGTCCGGAACACGGCAGGCCGAAGCGCGGATTCAAGATGCCGATCGCCTCACGCTACCGGCACCCCGCACCAACATTCGACCGGGCAGATTCCGAGAGCGCGAGCTCGCACCGGACAAGAACAACAAACGGATGCATCGAATCGAGGTCGGCGGGCGACACTCACCAGATCATGAAGATCCCAATCGGAACCAGCTGCGGGGAGGGAGCTCGGGAGGGCTCCCGGCGGCGAAATGGGATCGGCCCGGGCCACCAGCAGGCGGCGGCGGCGGCCGGCGGGGAGCGGGAAGAGGAGGAGGGAGAGGACGAACGACGCCGGAGCCGGAGCCGGAACCGGCGGCGGATGCGATGCTTTGTCCCAACGAAGCGCACCAGAAGCAGGACAAAACCCTCTTTTCCTCTTCGCGCTCTGCCTTCCGTCCTTGCTTCCTTCCTTGCCTCCTTCCTTCTTCAGCCTTTTGCGCTCTCTCTCTCTCTCTCTCTATCTCGCTCGCCCTGTGGGAGCAGGGGAGAACGTTAACTTAACGCGGATCGGACCCATCTGGTTACGATTTAACCCGACCCCGGTTAGCCGATCGCACCATTTCCTCCCTCGTTCGCTCGCTCGCTCGCGCGAGATTCGAAGGGTCTAGAACGCGTGAGCGGAGCCGCTGGATGGGAGGCAGCCGTAAGAGAATCTGGGACGTTGGAATTCCAGTTTCTTTTTTTTTTTTTCTTTTTTTCCCTTTCTTCTTTTTGGGGTCCCGGTCTTTTTTGGCCCCCCGATTACTCGGCCCGTGGGAATATGTAGCTACAATTTGCGCAATTGCCGCGGTAAATAAATGATGCGTTAAAAGTACATTTCTTGGTTTTGTTTAACTCATATGTCTTGTCCCAAAAACAAACGAAAAATAAAACTCTTATACTATCGCGACTATCTTTATATCACCGTGAGAATAACGACACGTTGTTATAAGCACAAATTCTTGAGGAAATAAATCTCGCAATAATTTTTATTCGCATAAGGTACTACTGATTTTTAACGCGTTCTTCTTAACCAATAAAAAGAAACAGTTCTCGAGTTTTTTTCTTCTTCTTCTTTTTTTTCAATCGACTTCTTTTTAACTTTCTCTGTTATACTGACGAGCCGTTATGTCGTTATTCAGTCGATTAAGCATGTAAGCTGACACGAACGATCAGACCTGATGAAGGCTAGACTTAAAAGTTCCAATCGAGGCTCCTCTGTACATGAAAAGTTAATGATTATTTATGTAAAATTAAATGGATCCATGCGATTTTGAGAGAAGAGTCGTTGCCGATGAATGAAGACTCTTTGCTTACTTTTACTCGCCACTATGGAGGACAAGTTGGCCCGGTTTTTCAAAAGTGGCAAGCAACGGCCACCAAATCTGGGCGTGTCGATGGTCTCCACCAGTTGAACCAGTTGATGTCGAATACAAGGTATGAAGAGTTTAATTTGAAACTCTAAGATCATTAAACTACTTTGGCACGGTTCCGGGTACTAATACTTGATTACTAATGGAGTATGTTTGTATATATATTTCGACTTATGTATAATGTTGTCATCAAATCACTTTTCGAGTAAGCTTGAATAAATGACGTGCCTAAGTATCAATCAGGCGACCCTATTAACTGATGAGTGATGCTTGAGCGCGGACGATCCGATGCACGCAAATAATCCATTTCCGGGTTCACATTCAACAGCATACCGAATGAGAATGCTCATTCGTATTTCGCCTGGCAATTTCTTAATCAGTAAAATAAAAATGATTTTCTGACCAAAAAATATTAAAAAAAAGATTTAATGGAGTGGGTACGTGCGAGGCGGCAGAGATGTGCCGGCATGTGCCAACGTGCAGGGCGGTCGGGGTTTTTCTAACGCTGCGATATTTTTAAGCACTCACGAGAAATTAAAAAAAAAATAAAAAAAAAGAAGAAATGGTAAAATCTGCAGTCAACGAAAATCATAACAACCCCGACCTAGAAACAAAAAGGTAAATTCAAACAAAAGACCGCAGGTGTTGGGCGACTCATACGCGACCTGTCGGTATTATCCTGCCACGTGTTTCTGTCGTTATCCAACATCCTTTTTTTTTTTTAAGGAAAAAAAAACTATAAAGTGCGTCATTGGACAATCATTAAGTTTTGCCAAAATATAACAGTAAAGTGTAAATATCTTTTTTATTTAAAAATATATGACTTTCCGTTTTTGCCCGAATTTGCGTTTTTCTGATTTTCGAAGTCTCTTCATTGCGTCAATTCCTCACAAATCGACTGTCCATGAGTTTAAGAGAAGGTTAACTACTATTTAATAAGTACTTCAATCAAAACAGGGATAAAGACATTGAAATATTTACATTAATTACAAAACGTTGATTGGGTCCCTAAAAAAAATTGGTAAAAATGAGTCCCTAAATTATATGATTATTTTACTCGTGTGTAATCCCGATGTTAGCCGATCAAAAAAAAAAACCCTTCCGTTAAAAGAGTAAATGGAAACGCTAACCAGAGGTTAAATTAACGTTAAACAATGACACGTCATCTCACGGGGTTTAGTGCGAAATGTCCCTGAATTAGAGCAATGTCGACGATGGTGGAGGCATCACTTCCTAGGCACCGATGAGGGGCCCGCATCCCTCGGCTAGCTCAGGCAAATCGAGAGGGGTCACTGCCGATGCCTCGTCAGCAAGAGAAAAGACGCAGAGAGAGAGAGAGAGAGCGTCTCGACAACCACCAAGCCGAGGCAAGGCAAGGACAAAGCCGTCTCCAGCCTCGCCACTCGCCTGTGGAGGTCGCCGGACCTCTCCATTGCGGCGGAGAGGGCGGGGCAGGCCTAACCCAATCTGACAGGAGGGTTGGCGGTCCTCGTCGCCAAGCACGATGGCGAGGGCGGCAACCTCTCTTCAAATTGATGGCGGCCTCGCCGCGGTGGGCGATGTTGCGTGTTGAAGAGTGGGGGCAGCCGTCCCCGCTCAACTTGGGGAGATGAATCCCATTGATTGGTGGTGGGCTTGACCTTGACTCCTCCAATTCTCACTCTTTATTGGGAGTCCTTATCCGAGCCCACCCTCGTCAAGTCAAAAAAAGAGACGTCACTTTGGCGGGTCGGATTTCTCCGTTCAGCCATTACACCAACCCGTATGATAAAAGCTTATTGGTTTATATTTTTTTATTTTTTGGGAATAAAAAATCATGAGAAATTTTTTTTAGATAGATTAGTCGGATTCATGCAATGAACATTGTTAAAAATCGTTCGCGAAACCCATTTACGATTGCTTAGCGACATGTGTTGAGAATGATCTATTAGATATTACTGATAATGAAGTGGTCATGTGGGGATTTCGAGACATGATCGAAACCCGTAAGGGAATTGTGAATGTGACTGCTATGACCGTTACTCGTACCATTTTGTTGCGTTAAACTTCTACTTGTAAAAATATGTATTTCAGTGCTACTATAAATTAAGGAAAACAACACAAACAACACAAATGGTCCTTGAAACTTTGTGAACAACACAAATGAAACTTTGCATGCAATGTGGTCCCTGAACTTCTAATTTGTTCAATGTGGTGCCTGAACTTTTGGTTCAATTAATTCCATAGACTGTATGAAAATGCTAAGTGTTTTCCCTGATTTTGAATTAATGGAAGGACAACATTTTCAAAATATGTACCAAAAATCCAGGGATCACATCGAATAAATTAAAAGTTCAAGGATCATATTGAACATTAGGCTAAAGTTCTGAAATCATATTGAATAAATGAAAAGTTCATGGACCACATTTCATATTGGGCCAAAGTTTGGATACCATTTGTGCCATTATCCCTAAATACTACTCTTATATTTATCTTTATGGTTTTGCATAATATTGGGGTTCGTTTTTGTCATTTTTTGAATTACAATTGCATATTTGTTCATAAATGAACAAATGTTCTTCGTCTATCAACTGACTGACCCAAATTTGTCGGGGTGTGATTTATACTCCCCAGCAACAAGAAGGCACAAGAGTCCCACTTGAGGGCTTTTATAGTTTGAGCCCATATTTATATTGATAGTTTGGGCTCGAGCCCATAAATAGCTACTGAATGCCTATATATATTCTTTTTTCTCTTGAAATCGAAAGTGATGTAATACAGAGGTTCGATGTGTTAATTATAATGGAATCCTCTAATGGATGTAGCCCTAGTTTAAGGGTCAATCATGATAAAAATTTTGTGTCTCGATCTCTTTTCCTCGCTTTTACTGCCTATTTCCTCGTGATTATGCGTCGAATCCTAACACAAGCGAAAATTTAGTTTGCCTTCGTCGGGCAGCTTCCCTTCCTCACTCTCAAAATCTTTCTCATCCTACCGCGAACAACCTCGACATTGGCGAGGGTCTAGCGACCCTCGCCGGCGGCTACGTGGAGCGGCCATCATCATCAGCGTCAGGATGGCGCCGCCCCTCCGCCGGCCATGTTTCGGTGGCCCGTTTTCCATTTGCTTGAATGCTTTTCAAGAAATTTCTGGCAGAGAAAAAGAGAGAGAGAGAGAGAGAGAGAACGAAGAATTCGTGTCAAGAAAATGTTCGAAAATGACGGAAGAGAGAGAGAGGCGGGGAAATGCAGTGGGTGGATATGGGAACTTTCGTGGCCTGTGCCGCGCAAAGACAAAAAACGACAAGAAAGATGAGTGGAGACCGCCTTCATGCAACCACATCCCCAAGCACCAAAGACAAAAAAGCTTTTTGAATGAGCACGGGAGCAAGGCAGGCTTGGCACAGGGGTACCGAACCTCAACTAAGGTAGGCCAAAATCTTTATAAAAACAATGATTGATGAATGAGATATGTAACGCCTCCTTGATTGCCATGGCAATTCCTTACACGAAACGAGAACACAAAATGAGAAGACCGAAAAAATTTATGAACTCAAAAGGATGTGATCCTGCTTAACTCGAAACGGATATGAGTTGACAAATTTTTGCCCTGTTTTAATAAGAGTCCCTCTAATCACATTAAAACAAATTTGTAATGACTTGCACGAATATGCTGCCACGACACAAATTGCCAACCTCTCCGGTGGCCAAGGAGGATCTCACCTCTCGGGAGAGTGAAATTAAGTCGAGCTATTCGCGAGTCTAGCTCAAGCTTAGTTCGATGGTCACTTAAGTTCGGGTGGCCTGATTTCGAATCAAGTGAGTAACTTCAGTATCTTATCGAGTTGGTCTCGTCTGTACACATCTCGACAGGTTCCCAAACCCAGTTGAGCTTCTATTTCATCGAAACTGAATCGATAATAAAAT